GTTTAATTCATTACGTTTTCTCAAGAATAACCGCTTTTTCTTAAATGGACCCCTGAAGGAGTTATGCGCCCGAGAGCAGACGTTTGAAGGTCGAGGTATAGTATAGATAGGGCTGTCAGTGCGAGAACACGATAAAGCCAGGGTCAGAAACAACAGTGAGGTGTGTGTTCGGATTCAGTGTGGACGAAGCTCCCCATTGCGCTTCTTGTGCTTCATCTGCGGAGACGGGATTTGGAAAACGTTCGTGTTTTGTTTTTATTCTTTCGGTTTGTGTCGGAGGCGGATGGGTTTGATTTTGTTCGTCTTATGTTTCTCTGTTTGGATGTTTTCTTTCTTTCTCTCTCTTTCTCTTTCTCTTTCTCTTTCTCTCTCTCTCTCTCTCTCTCTCTCTCTCTCTCTCTCTCTCTCTCTCTCTCTCTCTCTCTCTCTCTCTCTCTCTCTCTCTCTCTCTCTCTCTCTCTCTCTCTCTCTCTCTCTAGTCTCTCTCTCTCTCTCTCTCTCTCTCTCTCTCTCTCTCTCTCTCTCTCTCTCTCTCTCTCTCTCTCTCTCTCTCTCTGTCTCTCTCTCTCTCTCTAGTCTCTCTCTCTCTCTCTCTCTCTCTCTAGTCTCTCTCTCTCTCTCTCTTTAGTCTGTCTCTCTCTCTTTAGTCTCTCCTCTCTCTCTCTCTCTAGTCTCTCTCTTCTCTTAGTCTCTCTCTCTCTTTCTTCTCTTTCTCTTTCTTTCTTTCTCTTTCTTTCTCTCTCTCTCTCCTCTTCTTAGTCTCTCTCTCTCTCTCTCTCTCTCTCTCTCTCTCTCTCTCTCTCTCTCTCTCTCTCTCTCTCTCTCTCTCTCTCTCTCTCTCTGGATGTCTCTATTTTGTCTCGCTGGCTGTCACCTTTTGTCTGTCTGTCTGTCTGTCTTAACCTATTTTTCTCTCTCTCTTGTTAATTTATTCACATAATGAGGACTCATTAAGAGAACATGACCTTCCAAGTTTCGCTTTATAGGTCACGTGAAAAAAAACACTACTTGCAGTTATAAAGGTCTGGAGAATGGCTGTTTACCCCTTGCGCGAATAAATGTTTAATGAAAACCCTCATTGCAAATGGAGGCGACGGATTGCAACTCGTCTGTAAACAACTCCGGTGATGTTTTTCGTTATTGTTCCGCAGAATAGAGTTGTTTTGGTGAGAGACCGTGAAGAGTAATATGAAGGCCGGTTAGATGATTAGATTATAGCTCACTAAGTAGGGGGTCGGGTATTGGTAATCAATAACTTCATGTATGTGTTTGTGTGTATATTAAATATATATATATATATATATATATATATATATATATATATATATATATATATATATATACTGTCTATACACACACACACACACACACACACACACACACACACACACACACACACATATGTATATACATATGCATACATACACAAATATATATATATATATATATATATATATATATATATATATATTTATATATATATATATATTTATATTATATAATATATATATATAATATATATTAATATATATATATATATATATATGTATGTGTGTGTGGTGTGTGTGTGTGTGTGTGTGAGTGTGTGTGTGTATGTATGTATGTATATATATATATGTATATATATATATATATGTATATATATATATGTATCATATATATATATATATATATATATATATATATATATATATATACATATATATATATATATATATATACATATGTATATATATATTATATATACATACATATATAGGTATAAACACACACACACATTCAAATATAGGTCTGCGTGTGTGCACATCTGCTTGTTCACATGCATTTAGTGCTATCGATACGTGGACAGTGCATCATGCTTTAGTGGCTTCAAAAATGTAAATATATCTGAAATTTTAGTATTTTATAGAAATGTGAACACATGTTGCATTTCATTTTTTTTTTTTTTTTAACATTCAGTCTCCAAGGGATGTTTATTGTGTTGTTGTTTTTCTGTCATTTGATGGGATTTAAATAATATGGAAGGAATTGGAAGTCATCAGTAATGATGGTTATATTTAACAGTGAAATTGTTCCTGACACGAATAATAATAATAAAAAGGGAAAACGGAATGGTAATTGTAAAAGTGAATATAGTGATAATACTATTGACAACTTCAAGAATAACACTGATGATAGTAATAAAAATTATAGTAGTAGTAACTGTAATAGTGACAATAATGATAAGAATAATAATGGTAAGAATTTATTATATGACACTGATGATAGTAATAATAATGGCCATAAAATCATATGATGATGATGATAATATTAGTAATACCAATTCTTTGCATTATGGCAATAGCAACAAACAATCATGATGACAGTAGGAAGAACGATAACAATACCTACAGAATTACAAAACATCGCCAACCGTACCATCAACAACAACAACAACAACAATAACAAAAAAGAGGAAATGACAAAACCCGCTGCAGCGACAAACAGACTGTGCCCGGACATTAAGCGATCGATCCCCTCCAGCTCTTCTGCCTCCCGCCATCGTTAGAATCCGCGAGCTTAATGCAGCGCCACCTCCTCCAGAACGACCAGGGGATCACGCTCAAGACGACATCCTATGCTGTGCCACGACGACCTGCGACCTGCATGTCAGCCGAGGGTGCCACTTTTCACAGGCACGCCGAGATAGAGGGGGTTGCGGAGTGCCAGTGGTCTTGTTCTCACAGGGGGTTCAAGAGGTAGTCGGCGGTGTCTCGGATTTTAGTGGTTGGTGTGTACAGGGTTGGTGTTGAAGTGTTAAAGTGTCGGTGTTTGGTGTGTACAGGGTTGGTGTTGAAGTGTTAAAGTGTCGGTGTTTGGTGTGTACAGGGTTGGTGTTGAAGTGTTCGTTCGTGGTTAAATCTCGGCATTGTAGGCCTACCGTCTGTTTCCAGTAGGCTTTCGTGTGAGGGTGTACAGTTGTTGGTAGGTATATTTTTACGGTTATACGATTCTTAGGATTTTAAATAAGGATTTTTCACATAGTGGTGTGTGCACTTATGTAAATCAAACTTTGCGTGTGTTCATAAGAGGTTTACATAAAGAGTATACACGTGTATACCATATATCCTCAGACTTTCGCGAAAAAGATTCATCATTTGGTATGTACACTGTCGAGTTCAATCCACTTTGGGCTCTCTGATGAGGTGTATAAAGGCATGTACATGACACATGACTGCACTGTCTATTCTTAACCTACCAGCCAGAAAAGAAACACCATCAGAGACACTGCAAAAGAATATATACCACAGTTGCATTAAAAGATAGCGGGGAGGAAAGAAGGAACAATTGACACCATGTTGGTTGTAGTTTCCAATCATATTCAGCAAATGTAATGCTAATAAAGATACGTACAGTACACTACAGTAGATAATGGTGTGAAATACTACTCAAACCCACACAAAAGTCAAATTATGTGAGATTAAACTGAATATATATAATTCTTCATTCTTTGTTTTAGGTTAGGTGAGTGTGTAGGTTTATAAAAGGTGTACATGTATTATTATGTGGACGTGCAACTTAAGCTGTTTGTAATCTTATGAGGTAAGGTAGATAGATGGTAGAGATAGATAGACAGATAGGTAGATATACAGGTAGATGAGTAGATAGATCGATAGGTATATAGATTGACAGGTAGACGGTATGTGCTTATGCATGTATGTCACAACTGCACAATCCATATTTGAGTTTTCAGCAGGCAGGTAACACTATTATAACACTATTATTAGGTAGTGTAAGAAAATACACCACAATAAACGATAGAAGAATGTAAGAAAAACAAAAATAAAACTAAATATGAGAAAAAGTACGAAAAAAATATGATCCACTACGGTACACAAAAAAAAAGCTTCGATTTTTACCATTGCTTCGAAGCCGCGACTTTTTTTTTTCGAAGCTCCGAGACTTTTTTTTCGAAGCCGCGACTTTTTTTTCGAAGCTCCGAGACTAGGCAGGTGCGGTTGGCGGAGGTATTGTTATCTTCGCCCGGTTGTATCGTATGTCGTATCTGTCTGATTTGCCAGACGTCGAGACATTTTTTTTTCTCCTTGGTTTTTGGGCGGCTGTTATTTCTTTTTATTTTTTTTTTTTTTGAAGGTAAAATTCTGAATATATGATCGGTGGAATATTTGAGATTCGGGTCATGTTTATTTTATTATTATTATCATTGTTGTTGTTCTTATTATTGTCATTGTCATTATTATTATTATTATTATTATTATTATTATTATTATTATTATTATATATACTATTATATTATTATTATTATTATTATTATTACTATTATTATTAATATTGTAATTACTCTTATCATCTGAATTATTATTATTATTACCAATACTGTTATTATTATCATTATAGTTGACATGTATCTTTAGTTGTTTATTTGTAATTTATTACTGTATCAATTTAGGGATATTCGTCTCCGTGGTAGAAAGGGATATGTAGAGAAATTATTTCGTAGTTGCGGACAGACCATTTTAGATTATATATAAGGAATTAGATTGAATTAAATAGCATACTTAAGGGGTATCTGGTATTAAGTCATCTGTAACCTATTAGGCAGAAGTTCAGGTGAAAAGGTTGCCAAAGAAAGGTCATACATCAATAGTCTTTTAACATTTCTGATTCCCATTGTCTCAGACCTAAAGATAGATGTTTCACGCACACGCACACGAACACGCACGCACGCACGCACGCACGCACGCACGCACGCACGCACGCACGCACGCACACGCACACACACACACACACGCATACAACACGCACACATAAGCACACACAAATAAACACGCACACACACACACATACATACATACACACACACAAAGTGAATGATTGTTGTTTTTCAAATCGGTGATTAACATTACTATTTACTGTTATCCTCATTCTCATCGTCTTTGTTACTTTGTTACTACTACTACTATTACTACTATTACTACTATTTCTACTATTACTACTAT